GCCCATTTTCATATACATTTGTTAGTACAGTTGTATCAATTTTTTTCATCAGTTAATAACATACTACCAAAACAAAACAATGACAATTCTGTTTTTGAAAGTATCAACAATTCTAATGTCATGTCAAATCAACAAAAAATTGACTAATGACAACTGCAGTGTATCTTAAATTTTAGAATCTTAACTATTTTCTAACATCAAATTGTTCCTAACCTTTAAGTTTTTAAAAACATACATTTTTTGTAGTTTTAATTGAAGTCGAAAAGAAAGCATGCGCAAAGTGTACACCAAAACCTACTCCACAAAACAAAACATGAATAGTTAGTACTTAGCTACCTAATGTAAACTGACCATTCTTAACATAAAAGACATTTATACTGGTTTCAATATTTTTCAATATCTATAAATTCAGGGAATACTAGTGAACCTTTTTTTTAAGGGTAGAGCATATAGAGGAATAATATAATGTGTTTAGTCTAACCGTTTAACAAAAAATATGCACTTAACATCTTTTGAAGTTATCTTAAAGGGGAACTAGCTGTCAAATTCATGTTCAACCAATAAACTCAAACTCTCATATTCGATTTATAACATACTAAAACGTATATCCAAATAAAAAAAAGTCTAAAAAAATGCATAAACTCGAAATTATGTATTAGCATTTCGTGTGTATTTTAGTCCAGACGCCATCTATTTAACCATCGAGGTGACCTTCCGAAGACTAACGACGGTTCTATAACCCGATATAAACATAAACATAGATATAAAAAGGTAGCGAACTCGTGCAATTGGATTTTTCTAGGTCTGTTTGATTTCATATTATAGGTTAAAACAATGTTAATAATCGTTTTTGCCTGTATAAGAATGAGTTTTTGTAGATCGAACCAGTGAATCAAATGGTTTACCCTTGTTTCACTTTCAATGTTGACATTCTTTTCCTTTTACTAGCTGATCACGCCTAGTTCACGCGTAACCCATCACTAGCTAAAAGATTCATTTAAAGTTCACATGAATACGGATTTAATAAGGTCGAATTATTCACTTCCAAGTGAATAATTCATTAGCGATGTTTCTTTGTTTATTTCGACAAAACTGAACCAAACTGGCTGCTAAAAGCGAATTGTTATTTCATTATTTCAATTTCATTAATGATTAAAAAAAAATCATCTCGTAGCTAGTGCCCCTTTAAATGGATACATTATCATGCATGTCCTATTGATGTCATGATAAAAAAAAAATTAAAACAAGTCTTTCAAAATTATACTGATTAAAAAAAAATGTTTCCTAAACTCATCTCAATCTCATACATGCCATATACATGTAATCTCAAAATTTAATGTATATGACTTTTGTTGAGAAAATCAGGTGATGCTGGAAATCAAAAGGTGAATGTACAACATGTTCAATATTTTGAATTCTCAGAGTTCGTTATTACAAAATTCCTTACATGCTTATTATATAAGTTTATTGAAACATGTATACACCAGTGACTTTTTAAAATACCAAAATATATAATGTGTTAACGAAACAATTACACTTTATACACCTGAATTGCTTAAAAAGTGAATTGTTATTTTTCTTATTGACCATCTATGTCATAGTCCATTATTTATTCATTTAAAGAAAAATCACTTACCTTATTTAGTACTAGTGTTCTTGGTAGACTGTGGGTAACACTGGTTGCAAAATGAGAACAAATACCTTTAAAATAAGACCAAAATGTGAAAAAAAATTACCTGCAAATAAAGAACATCAGTACATAACATATAAGATAAAAGTTTTCATTTTTGTTAACAGATCAGGATGATCAATCAGTAAATACAATAAGTTATAATTATAACATGAAGTAAATAACAATTGACATAATTTATTACATTTGGGGAGGTGATTTTTAGTACTTAGTCATATGAATGGTCATACAAATATAATAACGTTTCAATCAATTATGTAAAGCAGTTGTATATCATTCTCTACAACACATTATATTGGTAAGGGGTATTTAAATAAGCCAACAACCCTTAAAGAATGCATCAATGTTGTTGTCATGTTAGGTGGGTAGCAGTTTATTTTTTAATTGAATAAGAGATTCTGAATTTCTGATATAGGCAATTTCATGTCCATGTACATTATTAAAAATTATCAGACCTTTCACAGAATTAATAAATCAGTTTAATGAAAATGTTTTGTTAAGGGGGGAGTTACAATTGTAGCTATTTTATCTTTTATGCTTATTTATTTTTTTTTGGGGGGAGGGGGGCATTTTTTGCAATACATGTGGGTGTCAGATGGGGTAAAACAAATATATGAATCTTAATTTGATCATAAATTATTAACTGATAATGTATATTGTAGCTTATCTTTGTCAATCAAATTAAACATGCATATATATAAGTACATTTGTATGCTTTATAAATATAAAACAATATGTACATTTTATACCTAGCTATTTCTTTGGCAGAAAATGCAAGTAATAATACATTTTACTGTATTATATTATGGCATTTATGGTCTGGAGATATAGGTCGGGGATGAGAGAGGTTTTTGCAATTATTAAACTGGTTAGGCTATACCACATTTACCAAGAGTCACATTTTGTGAATTTATCTTTTTTTGTGTGATGGTCTACTCCCCCAAGGTTTAAACAGCTACTTGTTTTGCAAACATGTATTGACAATCATAGTGAGAATCAATTGGATTTCATTATACAAGTATAGTCTCTTGAATTTGTAAAGATAAAACATAGAAAATAGAAGGGAGCAGGGTGATGATGTATAAGTATTTCACTGTATCATCATTATACTGGACCCCTGATATCATTTCAATACATTTGCCCAATATAAATCTACCCTAGAAGAATAATAAATTAAAATTAAGTTATAAGTATAACTATTACTTATTTTTATTCCATGGTCTATTTGGATCTTTCTGTTTTGTTGACTGGTTACTCCTCTTATTGCTCTCCCTTTTTAATTGGGTAGAGGGTGAATACACTGTTTTCCCTTTTTTCTTCCGTTGAAATGGAAACACATACAAACGAAATATTGGTAGTGAAAAGCCACACATGGCCTAACAAAGACATACAAAAATGTCCTCACAAGTTATCAAGTTATGTCATGCATGTTCATTAACGTTGACATTGTGAAATTTTCTTTTATCATGTTGGTACTTCCAAAAAAAAACATTATTCATTTTTCTTGCATAAGTTACAATGTTTGTGATGCAGTCTTATTATTTGACTGGCTGGTCTTCCTGGGGATATCGTTGATACAGTCCTGATAAATTGAAAACTAAAACGAATGAAATTCTCCTTCAGTTGACACATCAACATGTCACTGGAAAAGTTGTGAAAAGACTTGCCTTCGTCTAAATAACTTCCAGAATATCTCCACACCATGACCGATACGGTTGTCACGTCATTAAAGATGGCATATTTTGGTATAAATATTGATTCACTCATAAGGTCCTTGCATCGGAAATAAACACATTTATACTAGAACCATTTGTTGGCATGATACGGGTAATGTTCTTCTCATATATTTTATGATGGTATGATACTAAACACCTTGATTTTCATATGATGAAGACATAATCTTTCAATCAGTTAAATTGAGGTCTGGAGCTTGCATGTCAGTAACTGCTAGTAGTCCTTTGTTAATTTATGTATCATTGTCATTTTGCTTAGTCTCTTTTGTTACCTATTCTGACATCGGACTCGGACTTCTTTTAAACTGAGTTTTACTGTGCCTATTGCTGTGTGTTTGTTTTATCTAGATTGGCTAGAGGTATAGGGAAGGATTGAGATCTCACAAAACATGTTTAACCCCGCCGCACTTTTGCGCCTGTCCCAAGTCAGGAGCCTCTGGCCTTTGTAAATCTTGTATTAATTTTTTTAAATTTAGTTCATTTACATGTTTTGGAGTTTATTATGACGTTCATTTTCACTGAACTAGTACACATTTTTGTTTAGGGGACAACTGAAGTCCGCCTCCGGGTGCGGGATTCTCTCGCGGTGTTGAAGATCCATTGGTGGCCTTCAGCTGTTTGATTTTTCACTCTTTGGTCGGGTTGTTGTCTCTTTGACACATTCCCCATTTCCATTCTCAATTTTATTGCTATCTGATTGTTTATTCTACTTGGATAAAGGTAAAGGGGGAGGGTTGAGATCTCATAAAACATGTTTAATCCCGTCGCATGTTGGCGCCTGTCCCAAGTCAGGAGCATCTGGCCTTTGTTTATCTTGTATGTATTTTTTTATTTTAGTTCATTTATATGTTTTGGAGTTTAGTGTGACGTCCTTTTTCACTGAACTAGTACACATTTTTGGTAAGGGGCCAGCTGAAGCCCGCCCCCGGGTGCGGGATTTTCTCACTTCGTTGAAGACCCATTGGTGGCCCTCGCCTGTTTTCTGCTTTGGTCGGTTTGTTGTCTCTTTGACACATTCCCAATTTCCATTTTCAATTTTATACAGTATCTTCTCAAAAGGGATTTGAACGCCCGTTAATACGGTAAAAACAGCTAAACTGTGTTATATCAAATGCAACACAGCAGATGAAAAGCCTTTTCAATCAGGAAGTGAGTACATGTATACATTGCAGTTCAGGGGTGAACTAAGAAAAATATAATCTTTATACTATGTATCCCTTTTTATAGAATATGAACCACTCTGTATTTTCATAAAAAGAAAGAAAATGGTACAGAAATGTTTTAATTCTATTAAGATAATGACTTTGGATGTTTTTCACATGACAACTGTTGTTTTGTGAGAGGGAGTAATTTTCCTTGGAAAGATTTATCTTTCTTAGATCATGTTTACTCCAAAATAAACCCAAATTTACTCAAAACCAGTAATAGGCTACATATTTTATTTTTTGATATTTTTTCAAAAAATTATTCTATTGCATTTAACCATTTTCTTTAGACAATCCGGGTTTTGGAGAAAAATAGTGAAATTTCTAAACTAGAATAACAGGGAGAAGTTCATATTTTACAAGCATTCAATATTGCATTAAGAAGAATATACTGTATTCAATAGTCTAATATTATAAATTGAGTACTAACTTCACAAGACCTTTCAATACAAAAAGTATTGTCAATTTCTGTGATACAGTGTGTATCACTATTTCATCCTTTTGCATGATTCTTAGCCAGACTGCTACTTAAATGTTTGCATTTCTTGATACGTACTAACTATCATCATCGTTGCCACCAAAACCGCCTCTTCCAAAACGACCCCTTAAGCCTCCTTCGAACCTACCACGATATCCGCTACCAAAACCACCACCAGATGTTTTTTTCTTAATATCTTTTCTTTAATGAATACAGTGATAACAAATAATATATATATAAAAGTAAGAAACAAATATTATAACATAATGAACAAGTGAGCACCAGTAACAAGTTAAAGTCATACATATAGAACACATACATAGGAGGCATTCACAATCAAGTGACCAATAAAAACAGACACCACATTAACGAAAAGACAAATAATCTGATAAAACACTAAAAGTAGAAAATGCGCATACCAAATACCATATCATCAAATAAAAGTTATGCACCTCTTTTTGTACTTTAATGAAGTTGCAGGTTCTGTTGACATTGACAATTTTTTTTACACATTTTTGTCAACAATAACACTCAGTCCTTTTAACATAAGTTATATGGAGCTTGGCGTCTACTGTAATGCATAGATAACCCGCCATGCAAATTCACATTCAGCCATATTGTCACAACCTGTTCATTTATAAAGAGATTTACATAAAGGCTTGAAGAAGTTTTGTCATTTCCGACATCAGGGCCAAAATAATGACTCTTCCATTACCTTTTCTTTTTGTGATATAAACGCAATTAAAGCAAATACCTCCACATGTAAAATATGCATAGTCTTAATTTGTATTGCCATGCTTACAATAAGTTTGCTTTGATATTGAATTCCTTTTTATGATGACTCTTCTTTTTACAAACGCAATTAAAGCAAATACCTTTACATGTAAAATATGCATAGTCTTAATTTGTATTGCCATGCTTACAATAAGTTTGCTTTGATATTGAATTCCTTTTTATAATGACTCTTCTATTACCTTTTCTTTTTGTGATATAAACGCAATTAAAGCAAATACCTTCACATGTAAAATATGCATAGTCTTAATTTGTATTGCCAAGCTTACAATAAGTTTGCTTTGATATTGAATTCCTTTTTATAATGACTCTTCTATTACCTTTTCTTTTTGTGATATAAACGCAATTAAAGCAAATACCTTCACATGTAAAATATGCATAGTCTTAATTTGTATTGCCATGCTTACAATAAGTTTGCTTTGATATTGAATTCCTTTTTATCAAAATTGAGTCGTGTTAGTTATATTTTAAGCTCTTAAATATTTGCAACTCTTGATACGTACTGACAATCGTCATCGCTCCCACTTCCAAAATCCCTATCAAATCCGCCTCCTCCAAAACTACCTCTATAGCCTCCTTCAAACCGACCACGATATCCGCTACCAAAACCACCACCAGATGTTTTTTTCGTAATCTCTTTTCTTTAATGAATACAGTGATTAAAATATAATATATGTAATAGTTAGAAACAAATATTATCACATAATAAACAAGTGAGCACCAGTAACAAGTTAAAGGCATACAGATAGAACACATACCAAGAAGGCATTCAAAATCAAGTGTCTAATAAACACAGACACCACATTGACGAAAAGACAAACAATCTTAAAAATTACATAAAGTAGATATTGAGCATACCAAATACCATATCATCAAATAAAAGTTATGCACCTCTTTTTGTACTTTTTATGAAGTTACAAGTTCTGTGGCAATTTGACAATTTGTTAAACATTTTTATATACAATAAGACGCAGTCCGTTTAACATGAGTTATGTGGATAAAGGAGCTTGGTGTCTCTTGTTATGCATACATAAGCCGCAACGGAAATTCACCACACCCATATTGTCACAACCTGTTAATTTATAAAGATGAATACATTAAGGTTTGAAGAAGTTTACTCATTTTCCGACATCAGGACCAAAATAATGACTCTTCTATTACCTCTTCTTTTTGTGATATTAACGCAATTAAAGCATATACCCTCACTTGTAAAAAAAATGTATATTCTTAATTTGTATGGTCATGCTTACTATACTTTTACTTTGATTTTAAATTTCTTTTTATCAAAATCGATTCTTGTTAGTTATAAAGCTCATTAATGTTTGCAATTCTTGATACGTACTGACTATCGTCATCGCTGCCACATCCAAAATCCCAACCAAAGCCGCCACTTCCAAAACCACCTCTATTGCCTCTACCACACCTACTACGACATCTGCTACCAAAACCACCTCGAGATCCTTTTTTCTTTATCTCTTTTCTTTAATGATTACAGTGATAAACAATAATATATTTAAAAGTAAGAAACATAAATTATAACATAATGAACAAGTGAGCACCAGTAACAAGTTAAAGGCATACAGATAGAACACATACCAAGGAGGCATTCAAAATCAAGTGTCTAATAAACACAGACACCACATTGACGAAAAGACAAACAATCTGATAAAACACTAACAGTAGAAAATGCGCATACTAAATACCATATCATCAAATAACAGTTACGCACCTCTTTAGTGCTTTTTATGAAGTTAAAAGTTCTACGGCAATTTGACAATTTTTTACACATTTTTGTAAACGATAAGACGCAGTCTTTTTAACATGCTATTGAACCAAGAGTTCCAAATGGTGAAGTTGAAGTCATCCCTTCGTAAATTTTACGGACGCCATCACGAGTTGATTGACCGTTATGGAATAACCGTTTCACAGATGATATCGGATATGTTCCTTATGTCGTAACTACAATACCCTTCCCTTTTCACGAATGTGACTTACCGAATAAGACTATTTACCGGATCTGAAATAACATAAGCAACTCGACGGGTGCCACATGTGGAGCAGGATCTGCTTACCCTTCCGGAGCACCTGAGATCACCCCCAGTTTTTGGTGGGGTTCGTGTTGCTTAGTCTTTAGTTTTCTATGTTGTGTCATCTGTACTATTATTTGTCTGTTTGTCTTTTTATTTTTGGCCATGACGTTGTCAGTTTGTTTTCGATCTATGAGTTTGACTGTCCCTCTGGTATCTTTCGTCCCTCTTTTATGCGGATCAATGATCTTATAGAACTTGCTTTGTTGACTAGTATTGGAGAACTACCAACTATTACATTTTGCAATACTTTAAAACAATGATAGTTAACTTAGGTTCTACCAACAGAAAGGCAATTTCTGCTACATAAGTGGCATCTGTCCTGTTACTCAATGGATACAAAAGTATTATGACAAGTCACTTTCGTTGATGTTACAATTTAGGAAAAGAGGTCTAGATTGTGGCTAGTACAAGTTGACCATACTCGCGTTAAAATGTGACGCAGATGTTACATAACGGGACACCACATTATGATGGCGTCTGTAAAACTTTCTGATGGAAGGCTTCATCTTTTGAAACTTCTTAATGCAACATATTCCATATTAGCTGTAAACCAATTACAATGAAATATTAATAGGAAACACAAATTGTAATTCTGTCAAAAAGTAATTCTTCGTGTTCTGAATATTTTTACAAATGTGGTAAGGGAAAATATAAAATATATCTTTTTCTGAAGATGTGGACTGAAAATAAAAGAGCAGGAACACTACTGTTTACAACTTTATCCTGATTTAGAGTAATTTCTCGCAATTTGATTGGCTGATATTGTCCTAATAAATTTCAGTGCAATTTTTTATTAAGTCAATTGGAATTATCTCACTTATACCATTGCCCTAATAATTTATTTATTTTTAGTTGCTTTGTAGTCCTAATATTTTTTTCATTTTTCACAGTTTTAGATTAAATATCTAAACATATTTAGTTGATATATTGTCCTAATAATTGAATTTTAATATAAGAAGTGGTGATATAACAAAATCAGGATAAATTCGTTACACAGTGTGCAATTGTCCTAATACGGAATTTATCGGGTCAATAAAATTAATATCGGGTTTGGCTTCGCCACACCCGATATGGATTTTATTGACCCGATAAATTCTCGTGTTAGGACAATTGCTCACTGTGTAACTAATAGTACAATCTATCTTTGAATAGAAAGTGAACGTCGGTACGTTAACATTATTCCATATATTATATGATTACTTCCGTAAGACGTTACTATTAACTAATGCCACAAGTCGTTACTTTTAACTGTGTTGAACCGTAGGTGATGCGGTTAAAAAGCTAACAGAAACAATTTATTTTCGATAAAACAAAATGTAACGTTTTGTGTTCTTTATTCTTAAATTATATTTTCTGTATCAATGACTATCAATTTTATCAATATATATATATATATATATATATATATATATATTTATTTTTGGTCATTATCTCGAAGTCAGCCGGACCAGAGAAATATTTTGAGATACCCGTAGCTCGACTCAAACGAAAACTGGAAGTTTGACAGACCAAGGGACACAACTTAGCTTGGTAAGGCTAAAATAAATCCGGATGAATATGGGTAGGAGATCGATATTCTCGACTCAGATAGTTGTATTTGTATGTTATGGTCTTTTATCATTATAGTAACATTTTATGTTTCATATTTATTTCTTTGAACAGTTAGAATTTTTCCTTGTGGCTTTTGGCTGCTAGAGTAATTTCCAGTCGATCTTAGCGTTATTTAAAGTTGACAAGATTGTTCATTTTCGTATACAAGAGATTCAAAAAAATCATTTCATTTTTTTTCAACTTTTTTTGCAAGAGGATATTCAATTAGATTAAAGACGCCGACTGAGTAATTCTGGGTTGATCACCAACGGAAGTCTTTATCCCAACTTTATACACAACCAAGCTTATTAATGTGTAATTACGATTTGTTGTTCATAAAAACTTTTTAAATAACTTTTCATACACTATAACAATGTATCACTAATTATTTATCATGATGATCAAAGATTTTCTTAGGTAAACAATCGTGGAAAAAGAATATCATAAATACAGCGGTCAGTGACCGAAAATTTAATTACACATGTATTGTCAGATTGACTCTTCAGTCCATTTTAATTTTGAATGCTTTTGTTAACCTTGAGACCGAAAATTTAGTTAGAGTTAACTGAAATTACAGGAATCGAAATACATATATTTATATGGAACAAAGTTCGGGACCAAGAGAAAACTTTTACTCATCCAAAATGTCGAGCCAAACGAGTTCGAGACAACGAGAGTTAACTGTATATACATATATTTGTTTACGGTCTAACAATAGCAACAATAAACATTCAATCTATCTCGGAGTGGATCAGTATGAGAATAAACTGATACAGTTGCTAAATTAAACTATATACATTCTCAATATGCAGGTAAGACAATTTTTTTGCCAAACAGATATAAAAAGGCTTTGATTTACTTTGAGAAAAATTTAAGTTATCTTTTATCGTTACGTTTTCTTCGCATTTAAAAATAAGAATACGTGGTATGATAGCCAATGAGGCAATTATCCACCAGAAGCCAAATTACGTATATGTTAGCAACTACAGGTCACCGCATGACCTTAAACAAAAGACAAACCCCGTAGCTACAAAAGGCTCAAAATGACAAATGTAAAACAATTTTATATGTATTATTTATTTTATCTAGTTGTGCATTGTACAAATGTTGTAGCTGTAATCATGATATTGAGATTTGAATTATTTAATTTGTGATTATCGTTTGATTTACTTATTGATTTTTGTTTAATGCCGCTTCAGCGGTTATTTCGTTAAAGTTATATTTTAGTGGTGTAGGAAGCCGGAGTACCAAGAGAGAACAACTGACATTCGGCATAGTCAATTAAAATTGGAGTCGAGTCAAACACATCTGCCACGTGAAGGGTTCAAACTGAACACCGTGCAGTGTTACCAGAGCTATTGAAACAGTAGTTAAACTACTTGCAACAATCGGCCACTGAGGCCATATACATGACTCATACATATATAAATTAATATTTTATTAAAACAAAAACAAAAACAAAATAACAAAAGAGAAGAGAAGAGAAGTTGAAGCTGTACCAACGTGACACGTATCCTCTAAAAGTCACGAAGACCGTTTTCAAGTGGATGCATGTAAATGTAATTTAGTTTATTCCGTTTATTACGTGAATAATATGAACATTATTGTTCTAAAAAATTTTGATAGATATTTTCATCAAAATATATCGTATTGTATTCGAAATATGGAGATTCAGACCCACCGGTGAAATATGTATACAGTTTTTGTTTGTTCTTCAAGGAACTGTTTACAATACCCTTGCATTTGGTTTTCTTTTTCTTGTATTACCAGTGATTGATGGTTTTGAATTGTTGTCTCTTTGACACATTCCCCATTTATATTCTCAATTTTATTAGTTGCTTGCATTACTTGGTACCTACTTCCTATTATCATATCCGTAGTCAATGTTGGAAACAAAGCCGCCACGAAATGGATTTTTCTTTGTCTGTTGTCCGGAAGTGCTACAGTAGTACAATTAAAATACATATATAAGTGACAACAACTATATCCTATACGATAATGAACATTCTGTTATTACTGGTATCCGTAAGATATGACTTAATCGTATTCTTAATGTTCATTAAAACGTCATCTTCAACATTGCATATCATCGACAAGTACAAAGTGAGCACTAATGTGCTGTTGTATTCATATAGCAATGTGGTCCCTTACATATAACTATCGTAAACTATTTTATTTACTGCAGAACAATGTCTAACTATTTTTGTCCGCTTATTCTTATATTTTTCACGTGTGCACATCAGTGTTATTGTGAACCCAGGTGTATGGTTACATCAACGTGCAACGTATTGTATTGACAAATTGGTGACACAGACGACTGTACAGTAGACAGCTAAACTTGTGAAATACTAGATCTACTTACAATTCATGTTCTATGGTTTTGTATATATCTCTAATCAACGGCGAATGTTTCATACCATGTTTTCATATCACAATTCAATTTATTATGTGATACCTACACGTACCATCGGGTTCTATCGTCATAATCAATGTTGCAACCAAATTCGGGATGCCAACTTTCAACACGAACGCCGCCAATACTGCCACGCAACGGTCTTTTTTTCACACACTCTTGTTTGAAGAGCATACATATTTACAATTATAATACTGTTACATATGCATGTGAGTAAATTTTATATTTATTTTTGTATAATGAACAATCATTCATTATCAGTTCAGTGTTTTCGCTAAGAATATTGGTATTCTAAACCTTCGTTAATACGTTATTTATAAGCTATTAACCAAGATATGTAGGACATGAAGTTGAAATAATCCCTTTGAAAATTGAACGGACGACATCAGGAGTTGGTTGGCCGTTTAGGAATATTTGTTTCACAGATTACGACGGATATGTTGCAGTTCTCTGGATATGTACCAATTTATTTTTCCACGTTCCCGTCATCTTTTTTTCGAGTGTGATCTACATGTTCCGATTAGACTAATCACCGGGTTTGTACGTACATGAGCAACAGGACGGGTGCAAAATATAGAGCAGGAACTGCTTACCTATTCAGGGCACATGCGATTCTCCCTGATTTTGGTGGGGTTCGTGTTGTTTAGCATTTAGTTTTATATGATGAATTCTGTGTACTGTTGTTTGTCTCTTTGATGTTTTTCGTTTTTCGTTTTTTGGGATGGCGTTGTCGATTATTGTTTTCGACTTGTGAGATTGAGTGTCCCTTTGGTATCGTTTTCGCCTCGCTTTCACAACACAATTTGTTAGTAACACGTTGAAGAGTAGTTTTTATCGTTTATTCAACACTGGCATTTCCTGTTTTCAGACTGGAACGTTAACTATAGACTGACATGAAATCAAAATGCAATATCGGTCAAAAATAAAATGTCAAATAAAAAAATACAGCAACCTAGCCAAAAGGAAAACGACAAAATTATTACAACAACAAACAAACAAAAATCTTTAGGTTGAGCAACACGAACCCCATCAAAACTGAATGAAAGGCATAATCATAGAGATAAAATTAATGTGGTGTATTCTGGAATCAAAGTCCAACATATTAGTATAATTGATAATTTTCTGGTAAAAACAAATTGATTACCATCTGCTTATTAAAACGTTTGTGACACAAGTCACCCCTGCAAATACAGATTTTAATTCCCCTGAAATCAATTTCTTATGACATTTGCAACTCAATTTGTATATGTTGCATTCCTATCAAGATTGTCGACTGTGTATACTTATTTTTTTGTTTGTTCCAGCGTCCCTCGTGCAGTCGCAGTGCCTCCCCGGTAAGTATTTATGTATTGCATTTAAATATGAACTGCAATATTTTAAAGTCAATCAGAAAACCTATGCAGATTTTTCTACCCTACATTAAACATTAGAGGGCAAGATCTGCCGAGGTAAGCTATGTTATGGGTGATGTCACCTTAAGGTAAGTTTTAAACAGGGAATACAAGGGAAAAGGGACAGAATGTATCACTGTATGACAATAAAAATAAACAAGAGTTCAAATGCTGAAATGTCTTGCCTGCTTTACTGACCATTGCTTTTATGTTGAAAGTGTTAAAGAAAAAAATTTAACTACAAGTATCACATGACCTTAACATCTGTAAAGATCCATTACAATAAGTTAAGGCATTCGCTGAACCTTGCAAATGAGGTCACAGAAAATGTACATATGACAAACAGAAACTTGATAAAAATAAGTGTCTGCATGCAAGGTGTGAAGCATCAAGGTTTTCTACCTTACGAAATATAACGCTTGATATAAATAGTTTACACCGCCGCTGCCGGAAAAATATCCCTTATGTCTAGCATTCCGTCGAAGGCGAGACAACAAAGCATATACCGTATAAAGAGCTATATAAGACCCTGACATGACAAATAATAAAACAATTCAATAAAAAAAAAACAAGCGGCCTGGTTGATGTGCAAACCAATTAACGAAAAGCAAATGTCATAGTCAGCAACCAATTATATTCACCAAATGACTAGCTTATGATTTGGGACAGCACATACGTTTGAAGGGGTAAAATATGTTTGCAAGCGTGTTTCTGTGTTTAATTTTCCTCTGCCAAAAATGTCTTCGATAGAGATTGCTTGTAATTTGACGGCACTCTATACACGATTAACATCGTCGACACCATGTGAATAATGATTAATAATATTGGAATAAATACCCAAACACATAGAAAGTTTTAACGTTTCGCAGTAAACTGCATTAGTCAAATAGTATTTTCATAGTTTTAAAGATAATAGGAAAATATGCGAGTATTATTAAAATATCGCCACAAAGAACAGTTATTCCTAGACGGACTTGACTGATAAAATTATTGTAGATCTTGTATCATCGGTCTCTGTTTACTGTCTATAGTTTCTGCTTATCTATAATAATATTTGAGATAAAATAAAAACATGTCCTTATGATAAACCAAAAGTACTACGGCACATGCAAGTACAAATAGTGTCGAGCAAATAACATTTTCCATTCGAGCTATATCAAACAAAATATTAAAGCAGATTGAATTCGGGCTTGATAAAATAAAATTGTCCGTGAATACTGCAAAAACACGAACATTAAAAAACCCAAGTCATTTAAGGCTAATTTAACTTCCTTACAAAGGCGTCTGGTAGTTAGGATCATCTATAAATAGATCTCGATATGAGTATTGTTGGTTTTTTTTACAGTTTCTGTCTATCTATTATAGTTTTGGTAAAGTACAAAAAAACATGTAAATAAGTGAACACCGTTATTTGGGGGGAACACTCATATATAGGGATAAGTAAAATAATGAAATAGATATGGACAATGCCACTCCCCCTTTTTTCTGCTTTGTCATATGCAAGAGTATAGTTCCACGTATTTTAGATTTAACAAACAGTGATGTTGGCATACAACTTGAAATTGTAATTACGCTGTTTGTAAGACACAAATGATGCCCCCGCCTGACCATAGGAAATCATAAATTTAACACTATGTATGATGATGTAACTGTAGGAGGAGATAGCCGCACAAACAATGATCTCTTTATGCAGCTAGTACCAAAAATGACTAAGTCCAACTACCTGTAATTTTTTAGAATGTTCGAAAAAAAAAACACCCCGTGGCCATGCACACCTCCATTATGTATTTAAACATCCTACAAAATAGACACACGTGACAAAAACAGATACAACAGTTAGAGTTTTCGAACAAATATGGAATGATAGGTATCATAAGTACGTGAAAGAACGTCGTGGCAAGAGGACAAAACACTTTCCGATCCAATCAAACAAAACAATTGCAAATTACACCTCTTCAGTCGCCCTCAATTGAGAAGTGTTACAACGGATAAACGACAAATTAGCTCCCTAAAGCAGAATTGCTCATTATTTTGATAGCTGTATATGTCGTGCCAAATTCGTGAAAGTGACCTTGCTGAGTTTTTTGGTCATGAGAACCAAGCAAACCAACCTTTCCTGTCCCAGTTTGGTCAGTTGAAACTTGGTTTTAAGTCAGATTTGTTGGTGCTACTGGAGAAAATTTGTGTAATTAAATCTGAGATACCTGATGTAGATGCCATAATTTTAGATGGAGCTGTTAATGTTAGCATGCTGAAGCCTAAGTTTTACTCTAAGCAAGTTTTCCCTCCTCACATTCATAATTACTTAAGTCATGCAGTCGGCTAGATGTTATATGGAATGAATACCGCCAGGACAGCTTGAAAGCATCAAATCGTGGTAAGCGTGGAAAAGGTATCAGAAGACGTGTGCAGGCAGATTCTACTATTCCTGGTAATTGGGAGTCCTTTCTAAGAATTGACGATAACAAGACAAAGTTGTTTTCATATCTAGCGAAACAGCTATTGACGCTTACCCCCCAAGTGATCAGAAGACAGTGGTATCAACCATGGGAATAGAAGTAGTATGCAACAAACTAAATACGAATAACAGTGAACTATCGATATGTTACCATGAAGAAGCGGAAACTCGAAAATTGTTACATGTTGTAGATACGGTGAACAAAGGTATGCGGAAGATTATCATCAGAACAGTTGACACTGACGTTGTTGTAATTGCAGTATAAGCAGCGCACAAACTGGATATAACATGATTATGGATGAAGTGATTGAAGATTTCAAAGTATTGAATGATAAACTCAATAAAGATTGCATTAATGAATCTACAGGAAACATTGAGCGTTTTTTTTTTGTCTTAATGTAGCATAAGGAAATGCCTGTAACAAGTCAGGAAGATAACAGTTGTTTTCTTTCCATTCATTTGATGTGTTTTAGCTTTTGATTTTGCCATTTGATAATGACTTTCCGTTGTCCATGACCTATACTACTATTATGCAAACTTTCATGATTTTACCATAATCTGAGCAATTTTGTTTACAATCTGCACAAATCGACTGAACTAAAACATGTAAAACATACGTTTAGTCAATTTAGGAATATGTATACCTTGACTTTCTTAACATGTTGTCCCACTCAGAATATCCTATTGAATATTTTGAATAAGAATTTAGATAATTAACATGATTAGTGCAGCTAACCCATATTCTGTTTTTTTAGCAAAAGCGGCCATGTTTGTTAGAAAAGAACAATAACACAAACTCTAAATATTCTAAGGATTGTTCAGAATAACAAAATAATTGTCTTGTCTGTAAATTACCCAATTTGGCCCGATTCGTATTCGAATGGCATTAATTGCATGCTTAACAGGAGACGCTTACAATGAACGTATCAAGTCTCACTTCTTAAGCGTTCGTGCAATTCCCTATTTTATGTGTTTTACCTTAATTTTTATCCTCTTGATGGATTTATTTGATTTAAACGACTACTAGTAACTAATTTAAGACAACTATTTCTGCAAATCACTTGATGTTACACTTGCAGTGCATTTGAAAGCAGATAGATTTGAACTTAATCATTTACACATCTTCAGTTTATATAATATTTACCTTATTGTCAACTCCCCGAACAGGTTCCTGATATCGGTCTCTGATATATTCTTCTTGGAGTAGTCTATTGCCGGTAAATCTGGAACCTCCTTCATCTCCATGTTATTGATTTCCTCTTGAAATTGTTTAAGTTTTGGAATCAATGCCACGTCTAACATATTAGCTGTATCTGCAATTGCTCGATGCACTATGTTGACCCTTTCTAGGGAATCCGTGAATTCGGTGTTAGCTGTAGACAAGGTCACAAGATTATTTTCTTCTTCTCCCTTAAATGATTCGATCAATACTTCTGCTCGTCTATCAATAAGATCTTTCAAATGTTTTGCTTCCTCATTTATTGACTGGGAAGCAGTTTCAATTTGTGACTTGTATTTCCTGGTTCCATCTTCAACGTACGTTATCTTTTTTTCAAGACTTTCAACACGAAATTCCACACATTTTGTAATTTTCTCTTTGAGGTTCTGGACTGATTCCTCCATCCCCAACATACTATGTCTATTGTGATTTTTCACAGCACATATTCTACAAACAACGGTATCACAATCCATGCAATGAAATATAAAAGGTTCGTCGTGTTCAGAACAGAAGGGTTTTTTCTCCGGTTTGTAATTTCGTTCATTAAGAAACGTGTGACCTTTGGTTGTTTTTATTCGTAAATGTGAAGTTTTACAATTAATACAAAACATTTGATCACACTGTTGACAGTAATGACGAGCAGGACCACCGTCACATACCTCACATGATTTAGACGCAGCTTGAGCCATTTACACTGGTTTTGATAATGTAGATAGAATTTAAACCTATAAATCATATTAAACGTATTTGAAAAAAAATATTGTTTAGAATGGCATTTATTACGTTACATGACATCTAAATATTCAGAATTCAGAAGTACATGTTTGATAAATGAATACTTCGAATGCAATTGAACTTAATATTTATTTTCCCTGAAGATAAAAGAATTATCATTCCCTCCAATGATGTGAATAGTTAACATGTCAACGTACGACCCTCTCCCTCCTCCCCTAAATAAACAACAAAAAACATTATAGTAATGTGTATTTTATTGGATTTGTCTGTTTAAATATGGGTAAATTTCTATGGAATAAGTGTATTGCTGTACAAATATGAATGTGTTTTGTAATACAACACGATGGTACCACATGTGGTACGTTATCTGTTTACCTTTCCGGAGCACCTGAGATCAACTACGATTTTGGTTGGATTCGTGTTGCTTAGTCTTAAGTTTTCTATGTTTTGTTGTATATACTGTTGTTGGCCTGTTTATATCTTTTTTTTCTTTTTTTTAATATTGCGTTGTTAGTTTATTTTTGACTTTGAAAAGTGTGAAAATCCCTCTGGTATTTTTTCACTGTGTTGTCGGTAATTTTATCTGATTTTTTTTTTCAAGATCAAGTTTCACATTCACATAAAAAGGTAAAAACCAATCATTGTTTCAAATATTCTGATATTGTATTGTTGTTTGATGTAACTTTGTGTCTTTGGTTCGAAACAATATATGTATTCGAAAAACATTTTGACATTGTTTCCTGTAAAAAAAGACTTTTTTGTTCTTACTGATTGACGACGCTTGTAAGTGTGGGAAAATTAAGTGGGTTATGGTTTGAACTTTCATTTGAAGACGCTGCGACAGGCCGTTTTTCTACTTCAGTAAATATATCTCCTTTCTGATGTTCATATTTCCTGTGTAAAATATCGGGTTTTGTACTTTAATCTTTGTTAGTTTCCAATGTAGCCGACTACTGATTATTTTCTGATGAAACGATTTTGTGTCTTGCTCACATATTTAAATTATCAAATGTAACTGATACAGTGAGTGTGACGTCTATTTTAACTGAACAGGTATACGTTTTGTTAATGGGCCAGCTCAAGCCCGCCTACGAGTGCAGGATTTTCTCGCTGTGTTGAAGACCCGTTGGTGGTATTAGTTGGGCTCTTTTATGCTCTTTTCTCCGGTTGTTGTCTCTTTGACACATTCCCTATTTCCATTCTTAATCTTATTCTACATTTACACAGGAGAATGACAGAGTCAGATGTTTTAACAAGTTACAAAATTAATGTAAAAATAAATGGGGAATGTGTCCATGGGACAGATGACGCCCCCGCTTGCATAGAACCTTATAAAGGGGCATTACTCAAGAAGGTAAAAGTGACACTGCCAATATTTGTACTTGATCTGAGTTTTGTGGTAATAAGCATTGTGTAAATGTTTCATAACATTTGGTATAGGCAAACTTAAGTTAGAGAATAAAAAACGAAGATTTGGCAATTTTTCCATTTGTAAAAGGAGCATAACTCTAGAACAGTAAAAGTGAGGCCACCAAAATTCAAACTTAATCTGTTTTTTGTGGTAATGAGCATTGCACATAAGTTTCGTAACATTTGTTTGAGGCCAACTAAAGTTTGAGAACGGAAACGAAAATTTCAGCAATTTTGTAACAGTGCATAACTCTAGAAAGGTAAAGGTGACGCTACCGAAATTCTAACTTGATCTGTGTTTTGTTGTAATAAGCAATGTGTATAAGTTTCATAACATTTAGTTGAGGCAAACTAAAGTTAAAGAACAGAAACGAAAAATTCAGCAATTTTTCCATTTGTAAAGGGGCATAACCCTAGAGCGGTAAAAGTGACGCAACTAGAATTCAAACTTGATCTGTGTTAGTGGTAATAAGCATTGTATATAAGTTTCATAACATTTGGTTGATGCAAACTAAAGTTAGAGAACGGAAACGAAAATTTCAGCAATTTTTCCATTTGTAAAGGTGCAAAACTCTAGAAAAGTAAAAGTAACGCTTCCAAAATTCAAACTTGATCTGTGTTTTTTTGTAATAAGCATTGTGTATAAGTTTCATAACATTTGATTCAGGCAAACTAAAGTGAAAGAACAGAAACGAAAAATTCAGCATTTTTTCCATTTGTAAAGGGACATAACTCTAGAACGGTAAAAATGACACCACAAAAATTCAAACTTGATCTGTGTTAAGTGGTATTTAGCATTGTGTATAAGTTTCATAACATTTGGTTGAGGCAAACTAAAGTTAGAGAACGGACACCAATTTTGAGACGTACGTACGGACGGACGGACGTACGTACAGACGGACCAGGGTAAAACTTAATGCCCCCTCCGCTACGGCGGGGGAAAAAAATATCATCTTTCTGGAAGACTTCCCATAGAAAATATGGTTTACAGCGCAGACGGAAAAGGGTAAAACTTAATGCCCCCTCTGCTACGGCGGGGCATAAATATAAATGAGGAATGTGTCCATGGGACACAGATTGTGCCCCCGCTTGCATACAACATAATTAAGGGACATTGTGTATAAGTTTCATGACATTTGGTTGATGCAAACTAAAGAGAACAGCAACCAAAATTCAGCATGTTTTCCCATTTGTAAAGGGGCATAGCTCTAGAACGGTAAAAGTGACGCCACCAAAATTCATATAGCATTCAGAAAATTGGTTGTATAGAGAAACCAACAAACCTACCACAAAATTCTTCAAACAATTTACGAAAGAAAATTTAACAAAAAAACAGCGTCACAATGTCCCCCGCATTGCACATATTATATCTTTGCAAGGTACATGGGCAATAACCAAAATAAAACACTTAATTTTTGTAGCGCTAACGAGGCCATTTTCCATAAATTTAATATTTCCAAGGGGCATCACTCTTTTAAAAAAAGTCGATCGTCCACCATTATAAAACTTGTCCGAGATATTGCTGATATTAACATATAGTATAAGTTTATAAAAATCTGGCAAGCATTGTACCCATGAGAGTGTTAACCAGACCAGACGGCTGACGGACGGACGGACGTCCGGTATTTTCTTGTCCCCTGCAACGCGTTACCCGGGGACAAAAATAATTTCCAAAATATCATTTATCAATGTTTTTAAAAAAATCTATAACATTTATCTGTAACTATCTTCAAAATATCTAATAATGAACAGTAAATTTCAAACTATATTCATTGTCCTATAGGGCTTATCATCAACAACAAAGAATTTTCAAATAAGTCTGTCACTCCAATTATATCTGTGTTACTGATAATTACCATATGCTTTGTTATCTTGATAATAGGTTAAAAAAAATATTTAAAAACACTTAGTGTAATCAAACTTTATATATATGATTAATAGTTCCCAATATTTTTTCTTTCGTTTGTAACAAACTAATATCTGCAACTTATCTAGCAATGTCAGCAACTTTATCTACACAATGTTTTGTAATGAAATATATCCTTTAATCAACATAGATTATTATGTAAAAGTAACATGTTTTTTTATTAAGATGTAACATAATTCAATGTATGGCACAATTGAATTTAAAAATTTCGCATACCTACACTTCAAAAGATGGATAAAGGTATCTTTTAAATTCTAAGAGAATTTTCAACCATTAGAAACCATTTAAACATATTAACAATCTTTAAATAGAACACAGTGTAAACACAGTTATCACCACAATTAATATATCTGAAAAAGCAAATCAATTTTAAAATATGACTCAACTATTAGTTGTGCAATAAATTTATACATGTAGAGCTATTTAATATCAAAACCCTCCTATTGTGGTATGGAACCTTGTCTAAAACTTCTTACACATCCATACACTATTTTAACGCTATTGTCTGAGAACTAATTTATTTTCCATGAACCAGTGATGTAAACCACAAAAATAGTTCTCTAAAATTAGATATGATCTATTTTCAACTATGACCCAACTTAAAATTTCTGTTAATTGTCCAATAACATCTCTGAATTTAGATTCTGAGCAAATATGTAATAATAGCATAGTTTCGTACACAGAAGGAATGTGGTATAAGTTCTTAAATAATTAAAATTGGACATTTACCAATAATGGTCCAATATTCAAATTCTAAATGCATAGTTGGATTCAGCATATCAAATAACCACATTGTTTCATTTTTTTGTTAAAATCAAACTAACTTTTATTTTAGATTTTGGACCTTTATTGGGTCCAGTTTAAAAAAACGGGCTGAAAAATCAAAATATTAAACCACTGCAAGATAACAAACATTAAAGAACACCAATAATTTACTTTTTAAAGAAGAAATCAAACAGAGTTTAACGTTGGACTCAAATTTTGAACAACTTTGAATACGAAGCACATAATAAAAAAAAAAATTAAAACTCTGTTGGATTGACTATATCAAATAATACAAACAATTAATTTTTTGGTAAGATCAAACAATGCTTAATTTTGGACCCCAATTTGGACCATCTTGAATACTGTGCCCAAAATCAAATATCTGAATACACGCTTAGATTCAGCATACCAAAGAAATAAAACAAAGTTTAATTTTGGACCTTTGGGCCTTAAATCATTTCAAAATCAGACCCTTAAATCCAAATATTGAATACCCAATTAGATTCAGCATATTAAAGCCTCCCAAGAATTCAAGACTTTTGAATTTGATTATTGAAATTGCTAAAAAAAAAAAAAAAAATAAGTAAGTTATACAAAGGATTGGTTTTGGCCCCTATTTACTAAACCAATAGGGTCATAACAACAAAAATCAATCCCAAACTTTATTTTATGGTATAACACCTTTGGCACAATTAAATAGCAAAAAAAAATTGACTTATACTCAGGTTATTGTCCAGAAATCAGAAAATTCTAGTTTTTGGCCCCTTTTCAGCCCATTGTTATTAAACGGATTGGACAATGACCCCAAAAATCAATCACAACTTTCCTTTTGAAGTATGGAACCTTGTAGTAAAATTTCATAAAAATTCATACTTGAATTCGCAAATT